TTCTTTTCTTTTCTTTTCTTTTCTTTTCTTTTCTTTTCTTTTCTTTTTTTTTTTTTTTTTTTTTTTCCTACTCTTTTTCCAAAGACCGCACAAATCTTTAGAAATAAAGGGATGGAATGACTACAACTAATGACTTTAATGACTTTTTCTAAAATACTGTAGGTATTTTATTACTGTCATCATGTATACAGGCTAACAGGGTAGATGTGAAGGCTATAGGAAAATGAAGAAAATAACACTGATGGCTTAGAAATGGATCAAAGTCAGAACTTTCCCATTTTTGGGAGTGAACTGAGTCTTTCACTGCTTAGAGTAGTTACCAAAAACCAAGTTTAACAACATGAGTATTATTAAGAACATAACAGACCACAGTGAACTGCTGAAATAAAAACCCAGTCAAGTGAGTAGATCAAGTATCATTTAAATCATATTCAGAAGATCTCTGCTTCTTTCCTTTCTATAGCTAAGCAAATAGTAAAATATCTTATGGAATATTTGGCAGCATTTCCCCTAGATTTCTGAGGATACTAAACAATTGAATGAGGTTAAAAAGGGAGGAATTCATTTTGCTGTTCTTGTTCGGCTCACGGTTCTCTTGTCTTCACTATCAGTTTCTCTGGAGTTGAAATTCCAATTAAGTAGTCTCCGAAGGCAAATACACAGATGCTGACACTTTTCAAAGTTAATTAAAAAAAGAAATGTGGGGAAAAAAAAAAAGAAAAAAAAAAGAAAAAAAAAGAGGTCACTGTCCTTTGGTATAAGAAAAGAAACTGGCAACTCCATATGCTCATATCTTCAGAGCTGTGTTTATGGCAGGGTGAAAGTTCGTATTACAGTCAGCCGCTGATCTCCTTCCAAACACAGTAGGAATGTATTAAGAACAGGCCAAGCTAGCAAGAATGGGTTTATTTAAATTTATTGTTTTTTTTTTTTCCAGATTGAAAGAAATGAGTAGGATTTATAATTGCAATTGTTTGGAAGTACCATGGGGAGATGGAGATTTAGGTATTGTATGATAATTTGTAATTAATTTATTTTTAACTTTGCCCATTAATACAATGAGTCTATTTATTCTATTTAGTCTATTTATTCTTATTAGAGTTTACAAAGTAATGTAGGCTACCCTTCCTGAACGAGCACCAGAGAACTTGGGACCAGTGTGGCTAGTGGTAAATAAAGTTAGAGATGCCTTGTATTCAACATACTCAGCATCTGTCAGAAACTGCATCAGTAGGTACTAAATAAATGAACAGTTTTGGAATAGACTATATTACTAATTCTGCTGTCACAGACAATGCTGAATTAAAACAGTTCTTCATTTATATTCTTGTTGACGCTTTTTAAATAAGAGGCTTAGCAAGGTTGTAGAATAGCAGAAGGCAGCAATCTCGATACAAAATTTATTTTAAAACAAATCTGATGTTTATTAATGCTGCATGTTTATTTTGAACATATTTTCATCTCTGTGGTATTTCATGGTTAATTATTATGTTTACCAATAAATCAGTAGGAATGTGGAAGCTTTTCCCAAGCCTGATTTGCACAATTTTTTTCTGCAGTACTTTGCTTAAAGATTTTTATTCTAATAGAGATGGTGCAAGCATTTAGATTTGAAAGGTTTTAGCAGCCAGCTGCTGATGTCTCTGTGTGAGGGCAGGGAGATAAGGTGGGTGTAGATGCAATACAGACTTCAGAGTGGGATCTGGCATCACTGAATTTCAGATGTCACTTTAATAATTATATTAACAGATGTTCTTCAGAGCATTCTATGGGGGAAGAAGAAGATGGAATGAAAGGTGGAAACAAAGTTGATTTCACATTCTGTCTGCATCTTTGTTCTGATAGTTATACATGGACATACACACAAAAATATCCTAAGTATATTTATACTTAATGGATGAAAAGAATTAATGATGTTTACAATCTTACTAGATGTTTTTCTATACAATAGTTAAGTGTCACGGTTTTTTTGTTGTTGTTGTTTTCTTCCTGTTAATTTATGAATAGGCTAAACCACTGAGAAAAAATCTCATGCATGGAGATAAGGAAGAAAGTTCAAAGGGAACCATTAATGCAGTCTTCAGTAATTTTTTTGGAATTTTGCAACTGCCAGCAGGAGAACTTAATGAATCTTATTTTATTTGAATTAGAGCAACATGAGTGCTGGTTCTATGGTAGATAGCAGTGAAAAACTATTGTTATTTTGTAAAAATCGGGTCAGTATGATTTCTGAACTCAGTTGTTGTTGTATAAAATCCCTTACAATTCCAAACAATTTGTATATGTTTTTTTAACTTAGTTATTCCTACTAGAAATAAAAACCATAGGGAACAATGTGAGAATGCACAGAGTGAGCACACACATCAAGATTATCAGAGCTTAGTGCACATCATTCTGAAAAAAATATTAGAAGAACAGGAAAAAAAAACAGTGTAGGAAAATGAACTGAGTGAGAATCATACTATTTAACACATTTTGTATGATTTCAACATAACAGAAATAGCAAAATAAGTCCTAGACCAAGCTCTAGCATTCATTCCAGACAGCTAGACAAGAATAAAATCTGTCAGTGTCAGAAAGATTCAGAGAGCTACAGGTTTCACGTGAGTAATTGAATTAGCCTCTTTACATTCCCAGTAATTTCTTCTTATAAGTATCAGTAATTGATAATATACTTTGAAGATGATTCTTTCTTACACAGTCTCAGAAATTAATTTGCAAAATTAATACAAAAAATGGGTATCAGCTTTGCCTGTGATCCTATCAGCAGCAAGCCTTCTATAGCAAAGGACAGGCTCTTCAACAGGAACCACTGGTTGACTCTGGGGTTGGGTTGGAGGTAAGGGTTGGGATAGCATGAGGTAGAGAGATACTGTGAGTTTTATTTTTGTTTTTGTCCTTTCTTGAGGGTGGTGAGTCCTGGCAATAAATACAAGCTTTTGCATTAAGGATAACTTCTTATTCTTAGTGCTAACAGCCTATCAAGATGAGAACATAATATCCTGTTCCTTCTATAGCAACCTTTTGTACTATGATTCTCACTGTATTTCTCTTGTACATGTGTAGTAGCTTGAAATGAATCTTGTTGTACATGGAGATTTCCAAATTGGATTTCATATACTTCAGTTTTATCAGCACTTTTTCAGGCAGGTTTATATCTGTTTTTGGTTTAAATATCAATTTGTTGAAGCCTGTAAACTTACTTGCCAGCTGCTAAAATAAATTGTAAGATAATTAAAAATAAATAATGAAAAATAGAGTTAAAAATATGGTGAAATGCATCTGTTGCATCGTATTATTAAAATCAATATATCAATATTTTGTTCTATGTAATCATTTATTATAGATGCTTACAGTTAATATAACAGCTTTATCTATGAACAAATCAATTGAAATACAGTCTCTACAGGGGAAGAATTATTTTCACAGGACATTTCACTTCATTCTGTGCATTATGTTTCTTGCTTTGCTCTCTGCATTCCAAAAGCATTCTTATTCACATGGTTTACTCAATAAATGTTGTTATTACATAGGTTCTTGGGCAGATCGCTCACCTCTGCATGAGGCAGCCAGTCAAGGACGTCTTCTTTCTCTAAAGACTTTATTGTCACAGGTGAAGGCTGTGTTCTTAAAGTTGCTTAACTTTTTAATGCTACTTAATCTCTCAGCATAATTATTAATGCAGATTTAGTATGTTTTGCTTTCTTTTTTTTTCACCAGAATTTTTGAGAACAGCACACATTTACTAATTTTTGTTACAATAAGATATAAATTGATATTTAAAGTATTTTATCTGTACGTTTTAAGCTTCATAAAATCAATCTTTATCAAAGCTGTAACTATATCAGTGTTCTCCTCCTGTGAATCAATATACATAAAATCATGGAACATCCCGAGTCAGAAGGGACCCAGAGAGATCATTTAGTCCAAAAGCTCTGCTTCACTCAGAAAAGATAGCTAGCCAGGAAGATACTCGTTTAGAGGGAAGGCACTGAAAAATTCCGGTTCTTTGCACAGTTGTGATTAAAAAAAGATTGTTTTGTTAACAGCAAAGGGAGAGACTATAAACCATTGTGTGTTAATATTAGTTTAGTCATATTAGCTCCTACAGTAAAGAATAAAATTGATGAATACAATTTTTATCTTCTAAGAATTGAACAATACCCACCACAAAAAAATCCAGTGTTTTTATCAATCCAAGAAGTATTCTCCTTGCTAATATTAAGCTGATGTCTCTAGATATTTCAGCCCTTAAGTCAGAGAACTCTAACTCTTAGAATCACAGTGCCATTTAAACCCAGAAGCCTCGCTGGGTTTTAAAGATTACCAAGCATAAAGATTCCCAAACCTCTCTGCAGACCTGTTCCAGGGTTCCACCATCCCCATACCAAATTATTATATTTTCCCATACAACTAATCGGATTTCACCACTTGTTTCTGTTGCCTTTTGTCTGATTATTGTGCATCTCAAGAGTCAGGCTCCATTGTCTTTATACCCCCTTTATGCCCTATCCAGGATCTAATATTTCTGATTTTTAAAAAAGAAGAGCTGACAACTTTGATTCTGCTATCTATGTTGACTGATGAAAGATTTTTTTTTTATGCTCACTAAAGATTTACTTATTGCAAGTAGAGTGTTATGAATTATTCCTTTGAATAGTAAGTAGTGTGACCTAACAGCTTTCATACGATCTTCATATGTCATTCATATCTTGTTTAGGGTTACAATGTAGACACACTAACTATTGACCAAGTAACTCCACTTCATGAAGCCTGCCTGGGAGATCATGTAGGATGTGCAAGGATCCTTCTTGAAGCAGGAGCAAATGTAAGGGTGTTTTTGTATATGAAGTCCAATGCTAACTTTGGTTTAACTAAGAAGGATATATTCCTTGATCTATTTTTTTACATTGGTATTTCTCTGTACTCTGTTGATGACATTGACTTAATTACAATAAGCTGTCATCTGAAAGCTAGCAAAGGAAAGTTTTGGCTCAAAGAAGCATCAGTATAGAGATGTTAGGTTAAATGAAAAAATGAAACAAAGACTACTTAAGCGAGTATGTAAGAGTAGATCTCAAACAGAAGAACAGTAACAGGGAAAACAGATGGGAGTTGGGAAGGAACTGAGATAGCGTAGTCAACTGGACAGAATCTGCTAGTAGTGTTACCAGAATTTCATTGCATTATTTATCTTTCAAACTTCTGAATGCATCTCTCCTTTGCTGATTTCCATTGAGTGGCTTCCAAGAGTCTGTTCTTTTAATCTCTGGAACAACTTTTGTCACATTGTGCTAAATGCTCTTAAGATTCTTTGGTCTGAGTACACTAAGTCAGTACACTGACTCTTTTCTGTATGCATGACACAGACTCTCTACCTGTTATCCCAAACAGAAAGTGAGAATTCACAGACCATTTTTACTACAATTTGCGCTGAGATCAGATTCACCAATAGTTACAGTTTCTCAGTTGTAATTGGTGATATTCCATCTTGGTGATGGAATATTTATTGTCCTAACAATTTACTTTTGGGAAACATCTGGAATATGTGTAAGTAACAGATAAGAAAAACACAGATGCATTCCAAAAAGCAGTCTCTGTCCACTTCAGCTAGCGCAGGGATTCTATATATATAGAATATATATAGATACTACTTACAGATCTATAAGAACAAATTTTATTTTCGTATCTCAATTTTTGTAGTGCTTTTCATGGTTGGAGTGGGTTTAGAGGATGCATGTAAGAGGATTGGCGAGATTCCCCTCTCCAAATACCTGTGTTCCTTCCTTTAGCATCATCACAATTTTTCTTTCTCGTCATTCTCCCTATTAGCCTTGTCTCATTCCATGAAATACCACTCCAACAGAGAGATTAAAAACACAGAAGGGCAAATAATTCCCGCATTTAATATGAAGTTTGCAGTCTGCTAAAGCTACAGAGAGAAGGTTCCCATTACTACAACAGGTGTGGATTTTTTGTATCAGTGAAAAGAGCCAAGTGCAATTACTTCCAAAAATTAAGTCATTTACTGCCCAAATGATAATATGTGCCCTTCAGCATGCAAAGTGTATTTTCTTTCATTCAACATAATTTAACAAGAGCAACAGTAAACTGAGGAGTGTGGTGATGGGAGAACAACAGAGCAAGGACTGAACAGCTAAGCTATTTTATTCTAACCAGTAAGTTTGTCACTATTTTCATGCAGTTTCTAGCTGTATTCTGAATAAAACTACTTTTCTTTCAATGTTTTTGTTACCTCGATTTTATATATTTTAGGTAAATGCTACAACAATTGATGGAGTGACACCCTTATTTAACGCGTGTTCGAGAGGCAGCGCAGCATGTGCTGAGCTCCTGTTAGAGTATGGTGCCAAAGCTCAGTGGGAGTCCTGTCTTCCATCACCAACTCACGAAGCAGCCAGCAGAGGTAAGAAATTACATGCTCAACAGACAAGCAGTTAACAAATATCTCAATAATGTAGTGTGAGGAAATGAGTCCCATTTTGTCTGAGCCAACTTACTGAACCAACTATTATGCTTTGTACTGACAGGACACAGTGAATGTCTGGAGGTACTGATATCCTGGGGTATAGATGTTGACCAAGACCTTCCTCATTTAGGAACACCTCTATATGTAGCATGTGTGTCACAGCAGATCCATTGTATTCGAAAGCTTCTTTATGCAGGTATGTCATTATTTAAATAAAAGTATTGCTAATTTGTCTAATTAAGCATACTGAGTTTTGAAATAATCTGTGCTCAGTCAACAGAACTAGAACCCTTGCTTGCAGGACACTTGTAACTTTGCTGTGATGCATTTTTTCTTACATCAACTTACTGCATCTTTTTTTTTTAATTATTATATTTTTTTTTTTTTGGCATAACAAACATGAGTGGAAAAGGGATCAAGACTAAAAGAAATGGGCCTTCAAAATATTCAGCACTTACCACAGCTTAGTAGATACTCATTTTCTATAGAAAAAAAAAAAAAAAAGTTAAAATTAGCTTTGAGAAAGGTGTTGCTTTTAAAAGTTTTTTATACAGTATGCTTTCAACAGATTTTTTTTTGGCAATGTAGTCCCATTCTTTTTAATCTTCAGTGTACTCTGAATTCAGTCTTTTTACAAAGCATAGAGGCTGAACTGCAAAGAGAAGCAGTAAGGTAAAAGGTACTTCATCCTAAACCTTGTTTTATTTAGTTAATCAACAAAAATAGAAGTTGGACATTCAGTCTGTGTCAGCATGAGTCTGGTGTCAGTATCTGCACAAAGGATTGTTTGCTGTGTTTCAGGTAATGAGATACAGGACTTCGGTGTCCTGCAGAAAAATAAATGAAAAATTATATTTGAATAATTACTGCTTTGTTATCATTGCACTTCAGTTGTTTTTCTAGTTAATTGCAGGTTATCAAGAATATAAGCGAGCAATTAAAATATTTATCTTGAAGTCAGCTCTCTAGTTCATAATTTCTATGTTTAAGGAACCTAGAAATGTAACTGGCATGTTTTGAGATTCATATGCTGGCATAGATTAAAGGCAGTAACAGGATATTCTACATTTGTTGTGATAAAGCAGAGAAGTGTATGTAAATTGAGAACAGAGGTAGCTACTTATGTCAATCTGAATTTTTAATTGATCAGCTATTTAGAGTGTATTGGGAGGTACAATGCTAATAGACAATGAAATAGGCAAGAGAATGACACTGTGGAAGCATTTTTAAAATGTTCATGCTGGTAAAAGTGACCTATTTAGACTCTGAATCAGATTGCTAAGCCTCGGATATTAAAAAGTTCTTTAACTCAAGTGGGAATTTAAAAGGCAAATAACATTTATTCAGTGCCAAAATTTGGTACAGAAACCAATTTTTGGTCTCAAAAGATCAGTACAGTTCTTTTAATAAGATTCTTTTTTTAATAGGATGACTGTTGGAGAAATCCTGTTTGAGGGGAAAGGTTAACAGCTTGCTTAGAAAAGTTCTCCCATACCAGCTATTTTTAACTCTTGCATGAACTTTATTTTATGAATATAAATGCAGCACTGCAAATTAGTTCAGTCCATTTTAATTTACAAACTCTATTTTAGCAATTGTTTTTAAAGACTTCAGTAATGAAAGAGTAGTTTACCTGTAGCAATTTTTTTAAATGTATTTTTTTGATAATTAGGGCAACTACAATGCTCACATTACTTATTTTTTTTTCTTTTTCTTCTTTCTATACAGTATTTTCCTTTAAAATCTTGTGCTTTGTAAGAACATCTAGGATAACTATATGATCAAAAGGTTCAGTGATAGGATTAGCTATATTGGTATGTAATAAAATCAATAAAGTGGCTAAATTCACTGTTGCATTCCCAGACAGCGCGGATTTTTACTCAATGACAATTGTCATTAATCTCTTCTTCACATCTCTTTGCCTGCATACCAGGTGCCAATGTGCAGAAGGGAAAGCATTTGGAAACTCCACTGCATGCTGCTGCCCAGCATTCAAGTACAGAGATTGTAAACTTACTCCTTGAATTTGGGGCAGACATAAATGCCAAAAACACAGATTTTGAGAGGCCTGTTGATTTAGCTGCTCCTCGCAGTTTAGTAGAGAGGCTGCTGCTCCTCCACGAAGGTAAGCTTTACATATGCTTTTGCAAGTGTATTTTTGTAAACAAACATGTAACAAAGAACCCCAACAACTGAATATGTTTACTTTCAGCCAAGTTACTTTTTTAACTATAAAAGTAACTAGTAATATTTACTTTCAGGCCACAGCCAGCACACAGCCATGCAGCATCAGAATTTATTCAAGCTGAAAAAACATCTTTTTATGTTTATTAGGTGTTAAACTACAATAAAACTGCATTTTTATTGGCTACATCAGATCTTGCAATAAAGAAACAGGATACTTCAATTTCAGATTAAAAATGTATTTAGTTTTTGCCAACCATCCCAAAATTAAAAAATACATGTGTTCCTAATATACGTGTAAAGCCCTTTATTTTGAGTGTAGACAAAAAAATATGTAAATATTGGAAGTATATTTTTTTGTTTGAAAGTCTTGTCATACTTCACAAGGTAACGTTATAAACTGTTTCAGTCTATTCCCAGTTATGCATATGAATGTACAAACAAGGAATTTTTAAAATCAAATAATAATGAGTTATCTGATATGAAATGCTTTATAATAATATACGATGAAAGACCATAGAGGTTTTTAATTTAAATGAAATTTAGAAAACACTGCTTACTTTGTAATTACCTGAGAAATAACAATTGATACAAATAGTCTCTTATGACTAGTCTGAGAGAGGGAGGAAATGAATATATCCCAAAGGGATCTGGATTTGTTCAGGCTGTCTTATGTAAGGGTAAGACAAGACACAAAGGCCACAAGATGCAGGTGAAGACAAAGAAAAGCAAAGAAGTGACTGTCTCAGCTAATTGTCATCTCTTTAAGAGGTGAACAGGCACTGTTTCAATGCTTCCCTCAAAACAGCCTACTGTTACGAACAACAACAACAAAAAAACAACAACAAAAAAAACCAATAACAAAAACCAATCCACACTAAAACCAACTGGTTTTGTGAATTGGCTATCTGAGGCCATCAAAGACTAGAGGATTTTTAGAAGCATATAGCAAATATGTCAAAATCTTTTTTTTTGGCATGAAACTCACCCTTATGTAATTAAACTCCTGTTTTGTTTTGTTTGTTTGTTTGTTTTTGGCAGCCACACCATCTTCTCTTTGTCAGCTTTGTCGACTACGTATCCGAAATTACATAGGAAGAGCTAGACTGCATCTTGTCCCACAACTCCAATTGCCAACAATACTGAAGAATTTCTTACAGTATAGATAACATAATAATTAACCTTTAGAAAGCTGAATAACAAGTCTTCTGTTTATTGTAAATTTTACCTAAAGAACTGCTGGGCGGAAAATAAAGCCTTTTGCATATTACTTTAAAAAGACACAAATCTTTGACACCTGGTGTTGGCATGTAATCACAATTGGGAGCCATTCAGCAACTGGTACCAAGGTGCTAACAAGGCTGAATTGAATAAGTGTGCTGATACTCTGGGAAATGATTGTATAGGTTTAGCTTAACACTTACTAATTAGCTTTAGTGCTGTTAATTTTATTTGTATTTATACTTTAAAATCTGTTTGGCACATGGGAACTGCAGCGTTTCTTCATTTATATTTGTTAACTTTGTCCATTTGGAGTCATTATTTTATGTGTTTTTAAATATCTGTTGTTTGTGTACTGGAAAATACTTGGTGGTAGGTGCACTACAAACATTGATTAAAAAAAAATAAATAAATGAATAAATAGCCATTTTTTCTTCCTTTTCTTTATATAGACACTTAATTAATGACAGTGAGAAACTTCCTTTACTCTTCCTCACTGCCTGTGCTCTGAACTGGAGTTTTGTGTTTTGAGCTTTTCTTTTTTTAGCCGTATCTAGTTTATAAATTATTTGTAACTTTTTAAAACAGAAAATCTGTAAAGATGGAAGTTTACAAATTATAGGGAAGCCATAATGCTGAAATACTTTCAGATCCCCTTTTGTAACAGAGCATTCTTGGAATCTTTCCTTAACAGTGCTATATCATAACTTAGGGACATATAAATAATCTGCCTCAGAGAAAAACATAATTTATTGCATGGTTTTTGAAGGCTACTGCATCGTGTCATAGAACAGCTTGGGTTAGGAGGGACCACAAAGATCCAAACCTCTGCTGTGGGCATGGTTGCCAACCACAGGATAAAGTTGCCCAGAGCCCATCCAACCTGGCCTTGAATGTCTCCAGAGACAGGACAGTCACTGCCTCTCTGGGCAGTCTGTGCCAGGGCCTCACCATTCCCTGAGTAAATAATTTCTGCCTAACATCTAACTTAAATCTATCATCTTTTAGTTTAAAGCCATTTCCCCTTGTCTTATCACTATCTACTCATGTAAAAAGTTAGTCTGCCTTCTACTTACAAGCCTAATACTCAGTTGCTAATTTATGTCCACCTAATAAAATCCAGCTTTCTGACTTTTATCCTTGTTTAAAGGAATCTTACTTTATTCATCTCCTTGCAAAAACTCTAGTGAGAGCCTCTTCTGGAGTCCCTTTAAAGGAAGACTGGATGCAGGTAGGAGAGACTGCATAGGATTCCATACTGTGCATAGTCTAAGGATTTAGAGCATGCACTGAGCAAGTTAGGTAGACTAGCATCTAGATTTTTTGTTTGTTTTGTTGTTTTTTTTTTTTTCCCTACTCAGAAACTTAGAATGTTTTGTTTTCTGTATAATGCCATTACCATTATTATTTCAAGAAACACAGTAGTGCCAAGACAACTACTGCACTCCACTTGTATACACAGAGCAAGATCACTTGGATGCTTACCTTCAGGTGTGCAGAGTGCTTTTCAAACTTGACTTGGGAAAAGCTGCATGAGAAAAAAAGAGGATGTTGGTTTGGCTTTAGGCATTAGAGTCCCTGCTGTCTTACGTCATCTAGGTGGATTTGCACTGTCATGCCATTTGCACTATCCATTGCCACTAATTCCGGCAGTCATCCAAAGAGCAAACAAGATCCTCTTAAGTGGTGCGAGCTACAGGGTACTACTTTCTCCTCAATTCTATGGAGCAGTAGACAAGCAGATTAACCCAGATCCAGCTTGCAGGGGTATTTTTGTGACTTGAATCTTGGGTAATACTCACTTTTAAATCTTTAATCTTTTGCTAACAGATAATAATATGAAAATAGGATTCCTTCAGCAAACTGAGACAGGTTGGATGGGAACAAACAAAACTGGGAACTCAGGCAGCTGCTGTGGCAGGACTGTGTTGTGGAACAGGCTTTCAGATCAGCCCATTCTCATGCCATGTACCAGAAATACATACTAACCAAATAGACAACATCAGCGTTTGGTAAAGCAATTCCAAAAAACACGATTAGTCAGAAATTAAAGAACGGATGCTCTTAAAGCAATGCCTCCTATTTACGATGTTGGCACACAAGATCAGAGACGGATGTTGATAGTATGGCAGCAGAGGTTGAACCTTCCCACCAATATTCCATGATACGTTGTTGCTGCGTGGCAGCAGAGGGGCAGCCTGACACGAGGCGCGACACAGACAGGCCTCAGAAGCGTGCCACCAAATTCCTTCATGCCGAAAAGATGGCACCCACTGACGTTCATCAGCAGAAGGCGTTACTTTTGGAGCAACTTACAATTTCTCAAAGACATATATATCGCGTAACATCTCCATTCCGTGCTGGAACCCAACTGTGACATCACGCGGGCTTGCCGTAAGGCACTGCGGACAAACACAGCCGGTACCACGCGGCGCCTCACACAACCCGCACACCACACGCGCTCCGCTTCCTGCGTGGGCCGCCTCGTGACGGCAGCGCCACGAGGCGGCGAGTGCAGCCCCGCTAACTATGGCCCTCCGGCAACCGGAGCTGCCTCGCCCCGTGCTCCGCTGGCTGCTGAGCCTCGGCCTCTCCGTCAGCCCACGGAACTACCGCAGGTCCGCCCTGCCGGGCCGGGGAAAGGGAGGGCGCCGTGAGCGGGAGGCGGTGCCAGCGCTTTTCGCGTTGTCTCGACAGGGATTTCTCCAACGGGTACCTGGTGGCGGAGATCCTGTCTCGCCGCTTCCCCGCCCACGTCCGGCCCGACGCTTACACGAACGGCTGCTCGCTGGCCACCAAGCTGAGCAACTGGTCCCGGCTGCGGCGGGTGAGGGCGCCTCGGCGCGCGGCAGCGTAGGGGCGGCTCTGGGGCGGCTGCTGCCCCCTGCCCCCCTCAGCGGCCGCTCTCAACCACGGACCGTGCTCCTTCCTTGATCTTCTAATTTGTAATTGCTTTTTTTTTTTTTCCTTCCGCGTCAAGTTTTTGGCAAAGCAAGAGTTCGACATCACACAGGAGCTGATAGACGGAACGATTCACTGTAAGCCCGGAGCGGCAGAGCGCCTGCTGCGAGAGCTCTGCTCCGCGCTGACCAGCAGCCGGTGAGTGGGCAATGCCCGCAGGTGACCTCTCCTGCCCGGCCCCAGCTTGGCGAGCAAAAAGGTGGTTTGAAGTGAGTTTTGAACATTAGCCAAACTTTTGCTAATAGCTACTTCTTTCTGCCATCAGCTCGTCCATTATCTCTCTGTGCATCACTTTGCCTGAGCTGTTTGAGTGCATATGGGCTTCGCTGTTGTCAATGTGAAAATAATTATAAAGCCATAAAAATGAACTGGTACTTAGCCTTTTCTTTACTGTAATTAAATCCCAAACACCACTTTTTTTTTTTTTTTAAAAAAAAAAAAAGAATTGGAAGTCTTCAAGAGAGGCAGATTGACTTAACAGACTGCTGTTACCAGACACAGCTACCAGTAGCTGCCAGAGCAACAGCTTCCACAGCCATCAAGAGTAACATCAGGTTGACAGAGATGCTGGTAGAACCCAGCATCTGCACCAATAGACAGAAGGCCATTACCATCATTAACATGCACATAGGAATGAGGATGCAAGAGAGGGCAGAGAATCCACGTGAGTGTATTAACTAACTTTCACCATTAATGTTATCACTAAACATCCCCTTCTATTACTCCTTACCACTGAAAGAAGCCACGCTGTTCCTTAGCTCTTCTTGGCTGAGGCACTCAGCAGAGATGCTGTAGCTTGCCCCGATGCTCTTGGAAGAAATGCTCATAGCACAAAGGCCCACAGTATTCTTGAACTATCAAGATAGAGAGTGAGTGGCTAAGCGGTTGACGAGCTGGAGGGAAGATGGCCTGGACCATCAGATTAAAGGGACTCTGATCAAAGGGCTGTTCAATATAGTCCAGCTATGGCCAGTTACAAGTGACCTCCCTCAGCTATCAGTTCTTAGGGCTGCTTAACATCTTCATTAATCATGTGGACATGGAGAGAGAGGACACTGAGCAAATGGGGGAGTGACTGGCAAACTAGAGGCTCCTTCAAGTTCAGAGATATCGCAGCAGGCTGGAGAAATGACAGGACTCAATGCTAAACAAAGACAAATCCTGTCCTGGCAACCAAGTAACCTACACACTGCTACCAACTGCAGGCATCTGGCTGAGAAAGAGCTTTGAATTCCCCAGTACAAATGCACATTCTATGATTAACATAATGTAGGGAGGGCCAGCAAAGTAGCTAGAGGGCTAGTGCATATGACATATGAAGAGTTAAGAACTGAGTTGCTTCAGCTTTAAGAAAAGGTGAAAGGACAAAAGCTCCTCTTTCTGCTTATTAGGATAATTTAACTTACTGAATGCTACGAGTTGGATCAGTTTTCCTCTGTCACTGATACTATCAAAGAATCCTCAACAGTGAAAGACATTTTAAAAATCAATTAGTGATAACTCTGTTCATTTTCATGTTTGTTACTCTTCTCCAAGACACAATATATGACTTTTAGAAGTCCCTCAGTCTTGCAGGCATATGCTTTTACATGCATCAGTTCCACTGCAACCAGTTTGCAGGTTTTTGAGTCTGAAGAGATCATGAGCCTGTCTACTTTGATCTCAGTCTTGCAAGCCACAGCATTACAGTTGAATTTCTTTATATTCAGCTTTATAACCAACATTACCTAAAGCACACCCTGTCATGGAGGATGCTCCATCTCCAGTAAAAACATGACGTGGTTTCCTAAATTAAACTGAGTTCTCTGGTTTGTTTCCATTTTGGAGCCTCTTGCTACACTCCTGTGAGTTTTCTGTATCCTTCTGAAAATTCTGGCACCAAATTTAAACCTAACATTCTAGTGTCAATCTCTTCTATATCACAGACCAAGTCAAATTATCTTAAATTGTTTACAAATTACACATACTAGGAGTGTATCAAAGGTAGCTGCAGGAGTAAATAAGGCTTAAGCAAAGAAATTAGATATCAGACTTCAAGAAGAATGTCTTTAACTTGATCATGTCAAATGAAAAATTTGCTCTGGATCACCATCAAGACATAAATAGTCAATTTGTGGGCCTTTTTTTTTTTGCTATTTAGTTTTTTGTTTTCTCCAGTTGAAGACTTTCTTTGCCAAGTAGTACATTTAACTGCAGTGACTTGATAATTACAGTCTTGAGATATTTTGAAGTTGCTCAAATTGAGCATGTGTGGTTAAGACATACTGTGTAATCTCAAACATTTTGTTTAATGCTTATTTACAATCTCAGGCATTTTAAATAATAAAACACTGAAACAATTTCATCTATTTAAACATACAAAAAATATCCTGTTTGAAAAGAAGATACAGAGTACTTTTACCTTACAGTGTTTAACGTTTCCCCTTTTCTTCTGAGTGTGTTATTTTTATAGAGCTGCCAGATCATCTGAACATTTAAGTAAAATGGGGGGCAGGGTAGTTACAGCATACAGGTAAACTGGAGAAGTAAACAACTAACTGATGAGATGCTCAACATACTGCTGAAATGAGCAGTGTGGTATTTTTGTCTTAAAGGACGGTTTAACATTAAACCAAGTTTTGGACAGCGTGTGGTTCACCATTTGGATTGCATCATACCCTCTACGAACACAGCTAGTATCCCAAAGCAGCATTTGTTACCTCATGTAAGTTTGTTTTTCTGGATCATGTAGGGGTTAAACTTTTTTTTTATTATTTTTTTTTTTTAACTTTTGCTATATAGACAGCCAATAGATGTGTTTAAAAACTTTGAAGCTACATCTTCTTACAAAATAGGAGACTTGGAGAGGGTTGGCAGTGTTAAACTGATTTATTTATTTGTTTAAGATCAATTGCTTTGAGATTTTCCCTAATATGGCAGCAGTAGCAATTATTCTAATACTTAAAAATGCCTTCCTTACTTTTCTCAGTGTTTTGATTTAGTTTGGGTACATTCACTATGCTGAAATCCTGTTTGGCTCTTTTGGGCACTAATGCCAATAGTCACAAATTGATTAATTAGCTTTCAGCCTCTTTGTAGGTATTCTTCCTCTTTGCCATCAAGGATTGTCTGTGTTGGTTTAAATAGTAACACCCTTAAAAAGTGGTACTGCATTGTCTTTATACATAGGACTACAATAATTTCTTCAGAAGGGAAAATGAGACTCTAAGAGTTTAAACTCAGTCTAGATTTTTATGGTTAAATCTGATTAAAACAACTTCTTTAATGCTGTCATGATTTTTTCCCCACCTGTTTGCATATAGATTCATCAGAAACCGGAGACAAAATATGTTCATTCTAAAGAACTTCGGGGGAAACAGCTGACAACTCCCCCCTCACGATAGATATTTAGAACCATCTGGATACTGCTGAAAGGAATAACCAGAGAGATAAGGAACTTTTAAATACAGTCTCTCAATCACAATTGTGTTGACTGCATAACAATAAAGAGAAATCTAAGTTGGCCATTAGTTAGGCACAAATTCATTTAAAGCCAAATTAATTAAAAAAAAAATAGATTATATCATGTTCTACAATACAGATTTTATTTATTTCTACAGTACTGTAACTTACTTGTTCATATAATATTGCCTAGCATCCATTTCATCTTCATTTCTTACTAAAGTTGATATGTATCAGTGAAGGTTTCTGACACAGATGGTACTGATAGAAGATCAGAGTCTACAAAGTTAAACAACGTACATGAAGTAGATTAAGATATAAAGACAGTCTTCACAAGTGCTTTTTTTGGTTCCTTTGTTTTCAGTCATCATAAGAGCAAAGATTCTGGATTTTCATTCCTATATAACCATGAAAGCTTCAAATTTAAAAAAAAAAAAAGTAATATCTATTCTGAAAGAGGTATCTAAGCTTGGTAGTTCAACTTCATTCTTTAGAGAAGTACTTCCTTGCATTAGTGTAATGTTAAATTCCTGTAATTCTGGATTTAATATTTTTCACTTATGAAAACTCCATATTATTAAACTTCAAGGTGTCATATCTCATTTTAAAGGCATAGTTCATACCATTGCTTTTTTTTTTCTTCTCCCCTCAATATTGTCTTTTAAGCCATGTAGGAAAGTGTGTTCTGAGGATCTCACATTTGGCTAGTCTGTGAAGCTTAAAGATGTCTGTAATGGTCAGATTTTTTCAACAGAAAAAGTTTGATTTTGTACAGATAAAATGACATTAACATCTCAGATATGCTGAGATTTATAGTTATTAGAAAACACTATTATAGAGCTTGCTAAATTTCTTCATTAAAACAGAAATACTCATTATTAGAGAAAAATGAAACAGTGACTTGAAGACTCTTAAAAAGATTCTTAAATATTAAGGGAAAATACCTCTATTTGATTAGCTGTGCTGGATAATGAAGAACATTTCTTTCCTTCACCACATGGGGTTAAAACTGCAGTAGACAAAACACAACCATTTTACTCACAATGACTTATTTTATTTCATCAATGAAACAAAAAATTAACCCTCCCTCTCTAGTTTGAAGAGGGAGTAAAATCTGCCTAAGATTATGCGTTAAGGCACAACTTACTTGCAACAAATTGATGCAATTAGACTATATATTTTTAAGATACTTATGTTATGAAGTACTGGTAAAAATCCTTACAATGCAGCAAAAACTTGGAAATAGAGCAGAGTGCCAGTTGAGCCAGTCCTTCAGATCCTGTCATCAGACATGAGACTGTAAATTCAATTCTTAGTTTCGCTCACCAATTTTGTATGAACAGATATCACACACAAAATTGTATGATTTATGTGGTAAAAGGAAATAATCTTTCATCTTTGAAGCAACCCATCAGATAATGCTGGAAAATTCTGTCACCAAATATAAATTTTTAGTTCTGAAATCTAACTTTAATTCTCCAAACTCCACAAGGTTGAACAAGGGAAAACATTTTTCAAACAACACCTGCAAGAAGTAAAATATTACCAACTCTTAAGTATGAACAGACATTTTTGTACACATAACAAAGCAGCTAATCTTCTTTCCAATAAATTCCTATCACAGAAATTCTGTGATGCCATTCTAGAACAGGCAATGAAAAATTTAATTATTTTAAAAGAGAAATGAAGAGAACGAGAATTGTCAATTTTTAACCTCCATAGTACATTTCTGGCATGTTGACATTGTTATCCTTAGCTAGATGAGGGCAGTGCTTATAGAGCTATTGAGAACTAAGATGTACTAACTACCACTTTGTATTACTGCTGTTTTTAAAAGGATTGCTCTAGACAGTTCTGCCAGTTTCTAATGATAACTTCTTTGTATTTTAAGTAACTAGCAGGATTTTTATATTTATTTTAAAGCAGCTGTCACAACTGTAATGAAGGTCAGATAGATTTCTGCTTGTATGCCATCAAGCTGAAAATAATATAACCAAAGCAAGCTTTCTACAGATTAGTAATTCCAATCATAAGAATTCTATGGTTAAATTGCTTACAATACACAACTTTAAGTTATCTTGGTATTCTACTGCCATAACTTTCTTCCTGTTTGAGCACAGAAATAGCGCCATGATTTCAGCCCTGGTCTGGCCTAATTCTGTGACTAACGGGGTGAAGCTTCCCAATGTGACGCTGTCTGAAACCCATGGACCATGCCCTGGAAGAAAGGGAAAAAGTATGGAGATGGGCCTAGTTGGGGAAAAAACTCCAAAACAGTAACAGTGGTAACAATCTAAGGGAGAAAACTAATTTACTAAATATGATAATGGAATGCAAGACAAGACAATATAATTGGAATCAAAGCTAATAAAATAAATAAGGGAGTACCTAAAAACTGAAAGCCTTACTCTGATCCTGTAGATGAGACAGCCAGTAAACACATGGAGCCAAGGCAGGCAAAAAGAAAGACATTCTCATGACTTACAGTGAGTTTCAGCTTTCCCTCTTAATGGAAAACAGAAATGAAAAAAGTGAAGTCTTCTGCAAATTGTGGTCCATTCTTCTTTTCTGAGACCGGATCTGCAGCAATTACTCTTTAATTCCCAGTGCACTGCATGATCTTATGATGCAGACTACCAATAACAGATCACAAAACCATGACAATCAGTAAATAAAAATCTATGCGAAGTGTTTGTTCCTGGTCCATCACACTACACTTATAACTAACATAAAATGTAAAAAGAAAGCATTTTAATGTACATAAAGAACTTTAATAACATCACTACATTTTCTGTTCCTTACAAAGGCTTCATTAAAAAAAAAAAAAGTTTTATAAATACGTCTTAGATTTCATTGAGAGTATACAGGGGGACAAAGTGCCAAAGATGAACTTCTTAGAAAATATACTATTATAATCTAGACATTCAAACCTATTTTAACAAAACATTAATAAACATCTTTGTACTACTATTAATGGTGCATGTAACTAATGAACGCAAAAGTCACCTGTGCACTTTTGAAATTTTACTTTTGCTCTAGAATCCTGTGTAAAAACTAATTAAAATTAAAAAAATAGTCACTGTGTTATTACAGTCATTCTAAAACAAGTTGCAGTGGCTATTCATGAGGTCATTAATCCTTCGAATGCGTATTTGGGTTTCACAGTTTATCTGTGTTTTGATGATGTGTAGGGTTGCCTCTGTGCTTTAAAGGGATTTTAGTCAATTTCAGCTGAAATATGTCTGTGCTGTCTAACAATTTGTATTAAAAAAGACATGGCTGTCAATTAAGTTAGTATTTTTTTCTTTGGATTCTCAGTAACTACTTCTTTGGATAATCAACAAACATTTCTATAGAAATCTTTTCTCGTTCTCATTTTACAATTTTTAAAGTCCAAATATTTGTTTCCCAAGAGAGCTTGACTAGCATCTTTCTGTCCTTTCACAATCAGTGTTACGTTAAGAGGAAAATACTGCATCAAAATGGGTTAAGCCGTATTCCAGTTCCTAGTGGTGAAAATGGATTCACTTTGGCCCACATCAAAGCATCATTCAGTGAAATTGCAGATTTTCCATCTTCAAGGAAGAATGCTGGACCCTGGAAGAGCAGAAATATTTGGAGAGAAAGAAAAAGACAGTCCATGTGTATTGTGTAAAGACTACCACATTTATATCTGAGAAGAACGTGAAGAACAAGTTTTAGTCTATCACCTAAATTCATATGAAAATACTACCTGGTCAGCTCAAAGCTTTAGTAATATGCAACTGTTAAGTGAATAGGCTCTAAAATCTAGAAGCTGAAAATTTTGTATTCATCACATTTTTTTTTTTTAATCTTAACAATTGCTGTATTCTGCACATTTGTCAGTTAAATTTTGCCTGATGTTGTATCTTTTGGATTTCTCCATCTGAAAAACAAAATGAAACCAAAAAGGCTCCATGAACAGTTTTAAAACATGGAGTCTACTAAGCAACATCCAGTACTCACTATGAGAAACATGAAGGACAAAGCATTGATTTATATGATGAGAGAGAAGGTATCTGCCAGTTTTTTAATCTGATGAAACATGGTCTCAAAGCTGTAACTCAATTTTAAGTGCATTTTTACAGTGGTATGCTCTCTGAACTTGCCACTTAAACTGTAAAACCAAGTAATTAGGTTACTGTACCTTAGTACTTACTCAATGATTTCTGAGCCAATCTGCATGCCTAAAGCAAAGACTCCTAATATTCACTAATCAGGGAATTAGGACATTATTCACTAATCCAGAGATTAAAACACTGTAGATGTCAAATTGGTGACACCACATTTGCTATTCTTGTCAAATGGAGTATAATAGCAGCAGCTTTCTGTGGCTATTAGCAACCACTAACACGTGCATGCATTTTTCACTGAGCCACAGCAGAGATCACCGGTCTCACGCAGAAGTACTGGCAGCAAGTCCTTTAGACTTGAGGTTGTTGTTAATTCTGTTTACCTTAAAGATCTTACTAGTGTTTTGTGACCTCCCATTGCCAATGCAAAACCATCCCTCTCAATCCCTGAACAACCCCATTACTCTTTGGCCTGGCATCTGGCACTGCACAGAGAAAACAGATAGCCTCATATAAAAGAATAATTTCACACTGAGGCAGCACTTGGAGAAAGTAGCCATACAGAGTAGTGTTTTCAGGACCCATCTAGTTTTCCCAGAAATACCAAAAAAGGCATTATAAGGGCAAGCATGTTTTGATCTTTAAATCCTATGGAAGTGAAACAAAAATATTTGAATATTCAATTTTTAATATCTGACTTCAATTAATGAATTTTAACTATTCTGTTGTTATTATTAATCACAATGGAAACACAATGTCAGTATGTGGTTGAACAAGACATTTTTTAATCAAGCTGCAATGAGATAATGATATATATGAGATAATTTACAATAAATGAGTATATAAAAAGACAAAATTTGGCAAAATGAATGCAGCTATTTTTCCCCATGAAAACTACGAAGTTTCAGATTGGTAAACTGGGCAATCATTTGGCTGGACAACTCTTTACATAACCTTATTTATATAGCAGATCTCAGCATTTGTCCTTATCTTTAACTTCTGCTACTGTAACAATAAGGAAAATATTAGTCTTCGTACATGATGGTATGTACCTTAGATTTATGGTAATCTCATCAATACTCACTGCTAACACCATGATGAGTTACCTTGGCTGTCTGAAACTGACCTGTATCCTTAGCCCTGTCAAACAAGAGATGTGAACATCTGAATGGCTGGGAAGATTTGATCCAGTGACATAGTCAGGCCCAATCATTCCTTTCAGAGGCTCCTCCTGTATCCGTGATACCAGTATTGAATAGACCTTTTTCTGTGACTCAGATGGTGGGGTGCATGGCAATTCATTGGTAGGTCTGTGAAAAAAGAAGCTTTTTTTTTTTCCAACTACACATCATAATTTGTTTTGGAAACTAACATCCATTAAATATTTTTTTTAAACATTAAAGATTTTATGAAGGAGATAATATTGTATTCATAACAAAACATTTAAATGCTAGTAGAATCATCATACTAATTTTTTATTTTCCACATACTTGGTTGATTGAGCGAAGGCTCTCCACGCATCTAATTCCTCAGAGAGCTGCTCAATTTTCAACGGTACAGATACTTTCCGTCTTTTTAAAAGCTGACTGAAAAGGAATGAAAATAAAGCCCAAATTAACAATGCATATTTTCTTGAAAGAAATAATATTCAACTATTTTTGATACAACTTCATCATTTCATCCTTCATGATGGTCACCAGTATGAAGCCACAGAAATATTAAATTACTAGATATAAGATATACCTTTTCTTTTAAACTTGTCTTTAGGTATCTCAATTTATATATTTATACATTTATTTAAGCTTACCTTTAATTACCTTAATTTCCTCCTCCCCTCCCCCCCCCTTTTAAGAGGCCCTTCAATATTTTAAGACTTTTATTTCCTAATAATGACAAGCTGACTGCAACTAAGTATATACAGCTGATGTGAAGCAATATCATATCTAGCAAAGGCAAAACAAGCTGCACTGTGAAATCAGTGACATCTCGGACATGGCTTTGTTACCCAACAGGAATAAAATCAAAAAGATTTGAGTGCGCTAAACTGTGAGGGAGATGTTATTGCTAGAAATGGCAATTAGTCAGATGGACAGCACAGAGGAAGACTAAATAATAGTGGTTACATTTTTGAAGGAGTACTGAAGTACTGCATATAAACATTTTATTTAGCAGCAGATTAACAGAGATTATTGATCTGAATTCAAGTCAAGTGGATTGATTTAATTCAGTCAAGTCCAAGAGAGTCAAGTGAAGACAAGTTAGGCTGGGTTAAGTGGTTCAGGCCAAGTGGGATCTCACCAGGTAAGCAAGCCAAGTGGTGTCAAGTGGGTGAAGTCAAATGGGCCACGTCAGGTAGGGTCAGGTAGGTGGGGCCACGTCAGTGAGGTTAAGCCAAGTCACATCAGATCAAATGCACCAAGTTAAGTCAACCCAGATCAACTTGATGAGGACAAGACAAGCAGGCAAGGCTAAGTCAGGTCAAGTCGTGACTGGGTTGGGCAGGACCAAGTGGAGTCAAGCGTGCTAGACCAAGCAAAAAGCTTGCAGATAGGGAATATTAGCTCACTGAGTACCAGAAGGTTTCATGATGGGAAAGGAAGCAAGTGCACAGATACAAGCTCTGAAGTCACATCTTGCCCTTGATGCTACTGAGCAAGTCTTCACAAGAGGTCTACGCAGCATACAATCATGCACGGTAGTAATGCTGAATGCTCATCTAAAAAAAACAGTTTTTCCTTACACAACAAAGTGTTTTACTGAAATCATTAATTCAGAAGTTGATCTACCCAGAAACATGATCTGCCTACAGCATATACCATAAAAGGAACTGAGATTTTGAAGTGTTACTAAAAGCATAATATTACCTTGTATATTCATAAAGTGCAGGTACAATGCTATTGTACTGTCTTCTGATAGCAAGTAAAGCACCGATATAACCACACAAAATTAGCAACTCATTCCGAAATCTATAAATGAACAAGTATTAATTATGAACAATTGATTCAATGATTTCAAGCATTTAAAAAAAAAAACCAAACTCACATTGAAATACATAATTTTAAAGCCTATCTCATCAGTCCATGCTCTGTGAGGAATACGTCTGCTAATTATGTTTAGTTTCTGTGTGATGTAATTTACTACATTTCACCTGCTTTATACTGACATAAAAATTACAGAATTGTGGAATCACCAAGGTTGGAAAACACGTCTAAGATCACCCAGTCCAACCATCCACCTATTACCAGTATTTCTCACTAAACCAAACCCTTACATTTTAGCACATATGCATTAATAATTCCAGTCACATAACATTACAAAAAACAGTGGTACTCAGACCTTTCAATACAACAAAACTTTAAATAAAATTGCACCATATTTGAACGATCTTCAGTACTGTCAATTTTCCCCACAGACAC